ATAATTAATGTCTTGTTCATCTTTGTGTCACTGTCTTTATATGAATAGGAACTTTTTTAAATTGGTAAAGTTATAAAGTTATAAATTAGCAATTCAACTTTACTTGTAGCCATTGGCTAAAAACAGTTTTAGTGATGTTTCTGGTAATGAGGAAAACCTTAGGTCTGCATACTCTTAACCTGAATTAGACAGTTAGGTAAAATTAGGCAATTTGGCTGTTTAATCAAATTTTCACATTTGTGACAACTCTGGGCATGGTTGGGCTTCAATGTCAGCACATCTCCCAAGTTGTGACTATCCAGGAATCCTCCATTTTTTTCTATTATTTATAAAAGACTTGCTTGAATTAGAACAGCATGGAGCTGGGGGAACACAGCCGGCAAGGCAGCAGAGGAGCAGGAAAGCTGACGTTTCAAGTTGGGACCCCTGTCCGACCCGAAACATCAGCTTTCCTGCTCCTCTGTTGCTGCCTGGCCTGCTGTGTTCATCAGCTCCACACTGTGATCTCTGACTCCAGCATTGGCAGTTCTTACTATCTCTGAATTAGAACAGCATCTGATTATGACTAATTAAACAGGAATCTGCATACTTCCCTTCTAAGTGCTGTTTTATGCACTCTAATATATCAGCAACAGACTGGTTCTGTTCTAATAATTTTCTTTAGAATTAATTAATTTCCCACAGATTCTTCCCCTCAAGTTCCAGTGGTTACCTGTTCCAGGTGAAACATACAGGCGGATACGATTTACATTGCTTTTTGCTGCCATCATTCCTCCCCAATCAACTGAAGTAACAAAGCTGCAAAAATCCCATCAAAATAGACCTCACCGTCTTAACTTACAAACACAAATAGCCTAGCTTAATCAAAAATTTGGGAGGTACATTTCTAGGAAGAATGTTAATAAGGACTGATGGCAGTAACAAAATACATAAATCACATCTGCACAAATTAATTTTAAGAACCCTGACTCATACAAGATACGACAGTATCAGTGCCACATGTATGCTTTTGGGTTTTAGTCATTTTGTGAACGTTTCATTGTTCATCTCAACATAACGGGCAAAACCCATTATGCATAATCTTAACACAACATGCAGTAGCCAGATGAGTAATTTAATCCCTTGGGTCTATGCAAAGGTAACCTATAATGAAGAACACCTAAAACATACTCATTTTACGACTGCATGCAAAACCAAAAAGGAAACACCCCTTCCTGAAGTTGTTTGGGCAAGTCTTCTTTTTAATAACAAAAAGGAAAGCTCTAACTTGTCAGAAACATTGGTTACTGAGCTCCAATTATACCTCAAACAAGTTAAGGCAGTCATTAAAATGTGATCTACCCATTGGACACAACATTCCAGATTTTCTCCTTTGGTTTTTATCAATAATCTGGCTCACCTGTAGCAAATATTGGGTGAAACAGTTTGTTCTGACAAAATTTTGTGGGAAGGAACACAATCAGAATGGTTTCTACTTTCCATTACCATCAGGAAACCTGTTTGAAGCTCGACTGCATAGGAAGTTAGTCCTAGGCTGGTCAATGATAACCCATAATCAAGTAACTTGGTGCTACTCAGTCTAGGTTGACATATGCAGATTGGCCACTCTATGATACAACAGAGCACACCCAGTATTATTTTTTCCTTTATTCATTCATGGGTTGAGGGCATCACTGGCTAGGCCAGCATTTATTGCCCATCCCTAATTACCCAGAGGGCAGTTATGAGTCAACCACATTGCTGAGGGTCTGGTGTCACATGTAGGCCAGACAAAGTATGGATGGCAATTTCCTTCCCTAAAGGACATGAGTGAACCAGATGGGTTTTCAGATAATCGGCAATGGATTCATGGTCATCATGAGACTGTAAATTTCAGATATTTTATTGAATCCAAATTCCACCATCTGCCGTGGCAGGATTCGAACCTATGCCCCTAGAACATTACCTGGGTCTCTGGATTAACAGTCCAGCAATAATATCCATGAGGGCATTGCCTCCATTTGGTTCCAACAAACTACAGTCCAGGAGCTAATATTTTAGGAGGGTGTGGAATACAAGTAGCCAGTCCTAAAGGTCTTGGAGAGTACAGGCAGTCTTAACTAAATTCCATTCTGGATACCAGTTCACAGCAAAAGCTGGCTGTGGTCAACTTTGGGCTGGATGCAGGTGATTCAAAAAAAATCTAAAAGAATCGTGAAAATCATTGACAATGTACATTTTAATTGCTGAAAAACTGTTTTCAGTTGTTATAGGAACGAAAGCATCAATAAGATCTGTTGAGATATCAAAAATCAGGATCAGTTCCAATTGAAAATTCACACTATCTAAACTCCAAATCTCAGCAGAGTCGTGCTGGTGGTTGAATCATCACTGCTTTTCAAATCCTTTTCCCATCAGCCAAACTCCAAAGAAATTAGAGATGGACAATTCACACTGCCCTTGCCAAGGACACCCACATCCTACGAACAAATGACAAAAGGCTCAGCAATATCTGAAAGGTAATTTCCATCCTGATCCCCATACACTTTATGTTCCCACATGTTCTGGAACTCTCAACTCTCAAGAAAGTAAAACAAGACCATAAGATGTAGGAGCAGCATAGGCCATTTAGTTCATCGAGCTTGCTCTGCCATTAAATGAGATCATTGCTGATTGGATAATTCTCAACTCTACTGTCCTGCCTTTTCTCCATAACCTTTCATTCCCACACTGATTAAAATAATTAACATAATTAATGACACTAATGCAGAGGAACTGAGGCAAAGAACTTCACAGATTCACAACCCTCAGATGAAATTCCTCATCTGTACCTTAATTGTGGAGACTCCTTATTCTGAAGTTATGACCTCTGGTCCTCATTTCTACCACAATCTTTCCACATCTACCGTATCAAGTCCCCTAAAATCTTGTATATTTCAATAATTTGTCTCTCGTTCTCCAAATCTCATATCAGCCTAGTCCTAGAGGCACCGAGGTCTGCCGCACAGAAAAATGCTCTTCAGCTGTGCTGGTCAAAGACAACAGAACCAGCAAACCAAAATAACAAAAACCACTTAACTTTCAAATCCAACTTCCAGCACTTGCAACCGATGTGAACCTTCTCTGAGTTGTCTCAAATGCTAGTGTATCTTTCCTTAGATATAGTTTGTATATAGCCTATATTTTTCTCTTCCCCAGACCTGGAGCCTAACCAACATGGAAGATGAAGAGTGGTGAATTCTAACAGTTTTGATGGGTTGAAAATGTGTTCATTGACACAATACATACATGTTGGGAGGTGCGGTATGAATATTTCATTCACTGAAGAGCTTTATTACATTCAGAAAAAATAATAATTCCTTGCATTTCAATACAGAACTAGACTAGTTACAGCTGAGGAGCACTGCCCATGCACTCCTGTTCGAGACATAAAAGCCACCAAATAAATGGGTAACTGTCAGACTGGACTTTCCTTTAGAGTATGGTTATAGGATATCAGGAAAAGAGAAAGGCATTTGTCACCTGGTTTAGTCAGTGCTGTCATTCTTCATTTAAGCAGTCTTGGCATTTCTTCATAATGTCAGGTCAGTGAATTGACTCAAAAGTTTCTATAAAACTTCTGTCAAGTGGCTATTGTCATCATTACAGAGGAAACCTCGTGTTATGGAATGCAACTAGCTTGTGTGTTAAAAAATATACCTGGATTCTGTGGATGAGAAGCACCCAGAAAAGGTTCAAGATGACACATTGTACTAATTAACAAAGGTATCAATTAAAACTTGCCATACAGACATGCTACTCAGAAAAAAAGTTATTTCATCTCAATGACCAGACAGACATACACACTGGCAATTTAAGTTAGAATTACAAAATCTGGCAGCCCAGAAAGCTGCCAAGTATCTCAGCTAACTCTCAAACAATGTGTTCATTTAATCCTCTCCCCTTCCCAAACTGTATTCATTTTGAAATAAATTTGGTTTGAACTCAAAGTTCTGTCATGGTATTACATTTGAAGCTTTGTATATCCCAATGACTCTCCACGTAAACTCCCTATCTAAAATGTTTGTTGATCTGTTAAGTTAATAACTAAAAATGTAGATCAGTGTTAAAAACTGACCTGCGGATGCATTCTTTAACAATGAAAAAAATAATCCAGCCTGTCTCAAATAAGGAAAGGACTTGAGGATGAGTGTGTAATTCAGCTGTGGTTTATAAAGTCGTGAACTAAAGAAAGATAGTCAGATCTTTTAGGAGCATTGACCCAGAGCCTTAGACTCGAAAATGGTTCCACTTCATTTATCAGAGCACTTGTTTAGCATTTTACAACATATTCTACTTTACTTTTTAACCATTTGACAAGATTTTACTTTCAGCTATTCCTATCCCATTAATAGCTATTTTTTCCTCTCCAGTGTGAAGATCTTGCTTCTTTCTTGTACAAGTTTTTTTCCCTCTCTTTAAACAGTAACTTTCCAAATGTCAGAAATGGCGACATTTTCAGAAGATTAACATGTACAAATTATTACTGCTTTTTAGTACTCTGCAATTGTTACATTTGACCTAAAAATAACTTAAGTAATCTACATGCTTTGATTAAACTTAACTAGACAGATTACGATACTGCTGTTCTGATGCCGTCTGACCTGCTGTGTTTATCCAGCTCCACGTTTATGGACTACAATACTTAAATCCTGGTTGTACCTCAGGTACAGGAAAGCAAAGCAAAGCAAATTCTACTTGCATCTGTAGTTTTATCACTTGTTAAAATAAAAACATAATTCAAGACATTTTAAAGGTGGAATTGTCATTTCCTGGCAGCAATCCACTTCTGACCGTTGGTTAGTCAGCATTATAAAAAGCAACTACAGTCTGTAAGCTAATAACTTTCCCAAGATTTAAACTGCTGATAACTCCAGTCTGAGACACCAGGAATCAGTTACTGGAATTGAGATAATTGCACAATTACTTCATTCAGTAAAAATCTACCCCATCCTATCCCCTCCTTCAACAAATAAACTCACCTCTGCGTTCTGATCACGTTCCAGTATTTCCTCAAGCTCCTCATCTGTTTCTGTGCCTGACAGGCGAGCTGCTCGGGCCATGAAGTAGGGAGGTAGTTCTCCTATTGCAGTGCCAGCTCCCTGCAAGTAAGAAGAAAGACTGATGATTCAAGGAATATATTTCTATATGTGCTTAAAAACATATGTGCTAAAACAAAAATAGCTTTCTTCACAATAATTGTGAAAATATTCAGCTCGTCCAACATGAAGGATGTACGTACACATTTTATGTCAGAAAACAAAAATACGAAAATGCAGGGATAAAGGAAATATACAAATGTTTCAGATCTAAATTTTTTTTAAAAAGTTGGAAATGCATAGATTAGCTACAGTCTTACGCTCTCTTCCAGTTGCAGATCAACATTCTCGTATTTCCTATATTTTCCATTTTATATCGAACAGAAGTCTAACATTCATATTGATTTTAACTGGCAAGACATTCACAAAATCTGAGTGGAATTTTTAAAAATTTCTGATTTTCATAGAATAGAATAGAATCCCTACAGCATGGAAACAGGCCCCTTGGCCCAACAAGTCACACCGACCCTCAGAGCATTCCACCCAGATGCATCCCCTAATCTACACATCCCTGAATGCTACAGGCAATTGAGCAATCCACTTAGCCTGCACATCTTTGGACTGTGGGAGGAAATCAGTGCACCCGGAGCAAACCCACAGACACAGGTCTGTGTGCAAACTCCACACAGACAGTCGCCTGAGGGTGGAATTGAACCCGGATCCCTAGCGCTGTGAGACAGCAGTGCTAACCACTGAGCCACCATGCTGCCCAATGTTATAGCCAACACGAGTATTAATGGAGCAGAAAATCAGAAAACGAAGTTGGGAAGAGGCAATACTTGAATAATTACTATTGTTTCATATGTAGGGTCCAGACTACTGACTGAAATCTAGGTTAACGTTGTAAGGGCTATATAACCTGCTTTTAAAAGCCAAACAAAGGTTAATAATCGAGAACATCAAAGAAACGAGTGACTTTAATGATAGATAGGACAGTACAGCACAGAAACAAGCCCTTTGGCCACTATTACTGCACTGACCATGATACCATTCTGAACTAAACCCATCTGCCTTCACGTGGTCCTTTTCCCTCTAGTCCTTGCCTTTCACGTGTCTAAATGCCTCTGAACGGTTGCTACTGTTATCTGCTTCTACCACTTCCTCGGCAGCACGTTCGGCACCTACCATCCTCTGGGTGAGAAAACCTGCCTTGCGTGTCTCCTTTAAATGATCCCTCCTCATCTTAAATGTATATACCCCAGTATTTGACATTTCCACTCTGGGAAAGAGACTCAACTATCCATGTTGTCTTTCACTTTATCAAATTTCTTCATCTGCATATTTACAAAAAAAAAGGATGCTCTTCATTAAGGGAACATTCCCCAACCAGAAGTTCAGACTAGGATCTATAAGCATACCCCACTGGAGCAAAAAAACAACACACAAACAATCTGGTGAATTCCTTATTTGATGACTTAATATCTTTCAGTTGCTGTAAACTAATGGACACTTAATACAACAAATATACTGTTTCCTTTTAGCTAGTCAAGAACATCTTGGGATGCAAGTGTTTCTTGAAATATGCCACCTTTATAAGGGTGTGTGTCAATATTTGTGGAGAGGCCCCCACACAGAGAAGTTTAGAAAAACACTGCTGTAGGTGTAATTTTTGTCTGGGTGGATGAAATTCTAAATATGGCATTTTGCAGCCGTTACTGGCTACCAGCAGCATGTGGAAACAGCTCAAGTGGTTTCTGGATTGCAGCAACAATTCAATCCAGCTTTTCATATACAGCATATAGTGTGATTTATTTTACTGACTGAGTACAAATACACATTAGCTTTATGCTATGTACAAGTATAAAGATGCAGATTTTTACACCCATACTCTTCTACCCAGGCATTCTTCCCTCTTCCACAGTCTAATTAATCTCATTTTACTGTTGGGAGTTATCAATCTGAAGATGATCAGGATCTTTCAGATCCCACAGGAATTGGACGACCCGAACAGAAGTTTCCAGCAGACACAACAAGTCTATAGTAATCTGTGCACAAAACAAGAACTTCTATGAATTCATACAATCTGCAACAGAATATTTTCAAATCATCTTCAATGTACAGAAAGTTTTTTTTTCTGTTGGGTGTTTTTCATTAAATCCGAGTAAGATGGTTTACAATTAATGTCCCTCAGCCAGATTGTCAAAGACCATAAATTTACTGTTTGGAGAATAATGTGTGATCTTCAGATCATCAAGTGCCAATATGTTGTGCCCCGTTACAAAGAAGAGTTCATTTAAAAAAAATTACATTCAAGAACATTTCTACAAATTTAGAGTATTTTAGGTGTTAACACAGATTGAGTCACCAAGAGTTGATGCCATTTATCACAGACATTGCACTGATCCATTGAAGCAACAAACTTTGGCATAGAATTATGTACAAAATTGACCCAATCAGTATTAACATCTGTCCCTGTTGTCCCGGAATAGGCCATCCTCTAGGATTTGGATTTATTATCTAAACTGACACTCCAGCACAGCCTATTAGGGAATGATGCACTGTTAAAGTTCATAAGATTTATGAATAGAAGTAGACCAATCAGCACATCACTGCTCTGCCACTCGAGATATGGCTGATCTGGCAATCCTCAACCCCACTTTTTCTTGTCTTTTCCCCGTCTTCACTGCCTTTTTCCTACAACCCTTGATTACCTTACTGGTTAAAAATTTGCCTATTTCAGCCTTGAATATATTTAATAATCCAGCCTCGAAAGCCCTCCGGGATAAAGAACTCCACAGATTTACTATCCTCCGAGAATTACTTCCTCCTCTTCTCTCTTAAATAGACAACCCTTATTCTGAGATTCTGCCCTCTGGTCCTATATTCTCCGACAAGGGAGAAACAACCTTTTCACACGTACCCTGTCAATTTGAAACTGAACATTTGAGTGGCACAGTGGTTAGCACTGCTAATAGCTCACAGCGCCAGGGACCCAGGTTCAGTTGTAACCTTGGGTGACTGTGTGTGGAATTTGCACATTCTCCCCCATTTCTGCATGGGTTTCTGCCAAGGGCTCGTTTCCTCCCATAGTCCAAAGATGTGCAGGTTCAGTAGATTGGCCATGATAAATTGCCCCGTTGTGTCCAGGATATTCAGGCTGTGTGGGTAGGCAGGGTCAGGATGGGATGCTCTTCAGAGAGTCAGTGCAGACTCGATAGGCCGAACAGCTTCTCTCTGCACTGTACGGATTCTAGGATTCTAAAATTGTAGCTACAATGTGTTACAGGTATGCATTAATTGCTACATTTGAACTTGCACTTAGCAACAAATTACACCCCTCACACAAATATCAAGTAATGAAAAACATTATTTCATAGCACAGAACTTCAATGTTTGTAAATCATTACATGTTGTGAATAACTGGTAAATTGTAACATTAGAGAAATCACAATGTTATAGATTACAAGATGAAGCACAAAGTCAAGTTTGCTAATAATGGAGACAACAGGACACACTCAGACTAATGCAAAAAGTATGTATAATTACAGTGGTTCAGTTTAGTTTATTTTGTATCAGTCACCAGTGTTATTATGGACGATGACGAGTAAACTTTTGCATTGGTGTTCACAATTACATTCAATTCCGATTGCCACATTACAAGAAGGATGTGGAGCCAGGTGTAGTGGTGAAGGCACATACATTAGGGGCGTTTGAGAGACTTTTAAATCAGCACAGAATATGCAAGAAACAGGGGGATTTAGACCAAGGGCAGACAGAAGGGATGAGTTTAACTTGGTGTCGTGTTCAGCTCAACATCATGGGCCAAAGGGCCCATTCCTGTGCCGTACAGTTCTATGTTCTAACTTTGCTTGGTCATGAAGGAATGAGACACAGCCTGAGTGAGTATACAGTTCAGGGACTTTGGATACAGCATGGAATTCTGCTGCAGAGGGGAAGAAGTACTTTTTGCTTGTTTTTGGCTCAACTTATAAGCTTTTTCTTGAAACACAGGATCAGAGAGGCGGCCAATGCAAAACAAGGAATAATATCACAGGTCAAACGCAAGTTCATTGGTTGGTAGTAGCTGTTAATTTGATTGTCGGTTACTTTCAGATTGAAGGGAAATAGAAGAAATATTTACAGATTACAAACTAAAAGACCAGCAGGAAATTTCAAAAAGAAAATTAAGGACAAAGTAAATAAAAGACACAAGCAGGGCCAGACAATGTGCTGTGCCTCCATATTGTTGTACCCCATCATGGTTCATAGAGACCACATCTGTAGCAAGTATTAGTTGCCTGAGGAACTCTGGCTCAGAGCTTTAAACATGGAGATACATTATAGAGGGGAGAGTTATCTGGATGCTGTATTTCAGGACACAGTCACATCCCTTAGATTAACCACCTTGAAGTACGTAAGTACGTAAGTCAGTCAGTCAGTCATCAGGGACAGGAGGGGCATAACTACAAACAAGGCAGGCAGAGAGATTCCAGGATATAGTGTTGAAGGAGCCTCAGCCCTTGAATTTGTCTAACAGGTTTGAGATTCTTGCTCCCTGTGTAGACACGAGCTGGGGCTAGAGGGAGGATGAGCGAACAGATCATAGCACTATGGTACAGGGAGCCATTTTATTTTGGGGGAGGAGGGGGGAGAAAAAAATGCAGTTATAATCAGGGATAGTATAGTCAGAAATGGGAATAGACACTGGGACTCTCGATTCTGGCCACGGAGAACGAAAGTTGTGCTGCCTGCCTGGTACCCTGATACAGGATATCTCATCTAAAGAACTGGGAGTAGGAAGGGAAGGAACCAGTTGTCGTGGTACACATAGGTAACAACGATACAAGTAGAAAAAGAGAAAACAGGTTCTTCAAAGGGAATGAGAGTAGCTAGGGGCCAAATTAGAAAGCAGAATCAAAAAAGGTGGTAATCTCCAGATTACCAACTGAGACACAAGCTACTTGGCACAGGGTCAACAAGTTTAAAGAGGTAAACACGTGGTTCAAAGATTGGTGTAGGAGAAATGGGTTCGAATTCATGGGGGAGTTCATAGTGGAGAAGGA